ATGACAACCTGGATCTTCCTCTCCAAAGAGAGGCTCACACGCACAATCAAAAGCGATGTTAGGGCCGGCCCGGTGGCGCACTGCTATAGTGCGCTGCTTGGGAGCACGGTGGCGCTCCCGCCGAGGGTTTCTTTATTGATAGCTTCCCCCAACTCCTTTCCTTTCTCAGTGAAAAAATTACTTCCCTAGGAAGGTGGAGAGCAGAAGTGCTTAATATCTTTGAGAGTCTCATGACAACCTGGATCTTCCTCTCCAAAGAGAGGCTCACACGCACAATCAAAAGCGATGTTAATACAATTTCTCAAGTGTTCATGAATCAAATACAAGGGCCCAGATTTCATCTTCTTCAGCACGTAGTTTCCAATGGCCACTGTAACCAATTACTGCAAATGTGGTGGCTTAATGAACACACATATTCCATTAAAATTCTGGAAGTCAGAAATCTGAAATCAGTTTTGCTGGGCCCAAATCCAGGTGTCGGCAGACCATGCTACCATCAGAGGCTGTGAGGGAGAATCCGTTTCCTTGCCTTTTCCAGCTTCTAGAGCTCTTTCCTTGCATTCACTGGTTCATAGCCCCTTCCTCTATCTTCAAAACCAGCAACGTAGCATCTTGTTTTAGTTGTCACCTTGTCTTCTTCTCATGTTGTCACATCTTTTCCTACTTCCTTTTACTCTCTTAGTATAGAGTCTCTACTAAAGACACTTGTTATTACCTTAGGGTCTACCCGTATAGTCCAGGATAATCTCTCCATCTCATGATCCTTAACTTGATCACACTTACAAAGCCTCCTTTTCCATATAAGGTAACATTCACTGGTTCCAGGTATGAGGATCTTTGGGGACCCTTATTCAGCCTACGACAGCACAGTACCATAGAATCCCACAGTTTCGGAAAAAGTCTTAGAAGCCCTCCTGGTATATGAATTTCTCGGTTCTCCGATTTTACCCCAAAGCACCCAAGTTCATCTGTCTGAAGTTCTTTCTTATTTTGAGATAAGATCTGCTTTCTCATAGCTCCCACTCTGTGGACCTGGAACATCATGGATGCACGTATATAAATCCTTCCATCTATGCTATCCGATTGATGAAAGTCACACTGGGAGATCTTTTACCCAATAATGACACATGGAACATAGTCGGGAAAAGAAAGTGGCTAATTTTTACAGGGTTGATGCAAAGTGGATATTTGGCCTTAGGCAATTCAATCTGTATTTGACATAGACATTCTGCTTATTCTGGGCCCTTAGAGTTGCAGATACCTCTGATATAGCTACCCTCTCCTCCTAGCTTTTATGTACTGTACATGCCAGATTCTTGAATTCATCTAAGTAAACTTCATCACCTTTTTAAATTTTTCAGATCCACCAGTCACTGAAGATGGGTGGGTTATTTACAAAGACTACCAGTATTATTTTAGCAAAGAGAAGGAAACCATGGAAAATGCACGAGCATTTTGCAAGAGGAATTTTGGTGATCTTGTTTCTATTCAAAGTGAAAGTGAAAAGAAGTTTCTATGGAGATATGTAAGAATATGATTAATTTAAGAATGGAAGAGTGACATGTGATGAACAAAGATTAGTACCCCATGCACAATTTCTAATTATGTGCTGAATTTGAACCTGCTAAGGTCAGGGGTAAAGATGTAAATGTCAGAGGAGGAAGCCATAGCAGAAGTTATGCCTTATCATTTGAATATTCAGTGCAGATTCACAGAATGTGAAACGTTTTCTAGTCTGGGCTTTGTGAGAATTCATACTTGATGGCTTTGAGTTCACTAATTTGATATTCAAATATTATAATTCTTAATTAGTTGTTACATATCAACCCTGAACCCTTTGTGTTATACAGCTTGATTATTAATTAAAAAACGTTTCTCAATTGGGCCATGCTGTTGGCTAACAGATAGTACAGCTTGATGATTCATATTAAAATCTTTCAGCCATCACTGAAAGTATAATTATTTTTTCCAAGAGTGCTTGGTTCAATATCTGATTAAAAATCTTCATGACATCCTCATTGTCAGAAAGGAGGTAAGAGAGGGAACAGCAAAAAATAAGTTGATAAGTACTGAAAGAATAAAAACTTGATTGATTACGAAAGTACTAGAGTGTAGTCTGACTTATCTTTGTGGATATATCTTGCTTTGAAATTCTCAGAATATTTCCTAATATTGCACAAATATATAGTTAATACATATATTTATTTATTATTATATTATTATTATAATATTTATTATTATATATTTATTTATTATTTATATATTATAATTTATGTATTACTATATTATTATTATATATATTTCCTTTGTCATAATCCTGCCTGGCTACTTTGTTTTAAAGAAGGCCTTCAACCAACATAGCCACTGTAGGCATTTGATATTATAAATAAATAATATAATAATAAAGTATTTGCATTGCAAATGCAGGTTGTTGAATTGTGTGCATATTTTTCTTTTTATTTCTATGAAAAACATAACAGAATATGCAAGATTTCTGCATGAATTCTCCTTTAGGAAAGATTTCAAATAACCTCATTAATATGTATGTTTTGTTTAAGAGCTTGTTTTATTATATGATTATAAATTGAACTATATGTAAACTTCCATGTTTTAGGTAAACAGGAATGATGCACAGTCAGCGTATTTTATTGGCTTATTGATCAGCTTGGATAAAAAGTTTGTGTAAGTAAATCAAGCTAAACAACTTTGCTTAGGATAGTGATCTGATAAATACCTACGAGGTATTCTGAGACTTTTGTTTTGCTGAATGCATTTTTAAAAATGCTACAGCATTTTCAATCTAAAAAGCATCTTTGAAAAAATAAAAAAATAGCTTAATATAAGTATATTAATTATTTTCAACACTTATAACTCTCAAATAAACAACTCAAAATTGGATTTGATCTTGCAAAACTTCACCTGTCTTTGTTTTCAGATATAATCATCTGCCAGTAAATAATCAATTAAAAAGACATATTAGATATGGATACTGAATTTATTTTAAAAATTATGATCCCATTTGTACTAACCTTGGTGCCTAGAACCAAAGAACCCTTTTCTGTTGTCCCACTCACTGTTTTAGCAGCACTGTTTTGAAGTACTCTTTCAATTGCATGAAGTGCTTTCCTTTCGAAAGAATGATTGGACTGTTTTCCATTAGATATGGGATCCAGGAAAAGCTGTGGAAAAGAGGAAGTTAGTACATTTTTGGAGTTTCTTTCCTTGTTCATTAATACACTTGCTCTACCGAGTCTGAAGAGCTGTTATGCTCTCCTGGCTTCTGCACAGATGTTTTAGCCACATACATTCCATGGGACTGTTATTGCCATGAGCAATAGAGACCTCAATTCAAGGTCATTATTTTTAAAGAACAGAAATGTTTGCTGTTCTTTTGGACAGGCACCATTTTATCATCTCTAAAATGAGAGGGTCAAATTCGATGATCTTTTGGTCCCTTGCCAGCACTCACAGTCTCTGAATTTCTATAATTTATGAAAATAAGCATTGGTAGCAAATAACGTACCTTACAAGGCACCAGAGTAACCTTGAAAATCAGAGAATGGGTCTAATGAGAAATTCTATATTCTCTACCTCTCTGTGGGTGGTTTTGTTTTGTGGGAGTCGTGTCCAAGGAGAAATATGGGAGGATTTGATTTCTGTTTCTGGCCCACTTCCTGAGTAACAGGGATCTGCATTTGTTCTCCCACTTCAAGACAAAAGGTAGTGTCTTCCAGTGAGGGAAAAGAAGACAGACTCGCCAAGACATCAGGGTTGCTAGAGGAGCCCAATGCTGGGGATTGCACCAAGCACCCATGCATTTGGGGGTTTTCCTCTAGTCTCCCTATGACTCCCTCTTCTAGA